CATTGATATCATTTATTATTATTATTGTTATCATTTGTATATTTTTGTTATCATGACATATCATTTCTTCATTATAATGTACATTATTTTTCAAACCTTCATAGCTTGAAGCCACGCCTACTTTAATTAAAGCATTTTTAACCCTTTGAGTATTCGGTTTTTAGCTACTCTCTGCTCACCCTCACCCTGTCAGTGATTGTCAATGTCCGTCTCCCCTTCTCCTCCGAGTGAGGATCAGATATCAAAGGAGTGGCCCCTCCACTGGTTAGTGTGGAATAACGAGCATAAAGGCCTTCACAGACTACTCGAGCAAAAACTGGTGAGGACAATCTTTAATGATACAGGTCATGTTCTTTTAGTATGACAAGGAGCAGGTTGATCCGAGGGGTCGTACTCCATTACATTTGTCAGTATCACTGAACCACAGAGACTGTACGGAGGTCCTTCTCTATCACGGAGCTAATGCATTAGCCACTAACAGGCACCATTGGTCAGGTGAGCACAGCCCTAGCCCTCTGGGGGGATAAACCCTGTCTATTGATAAACCCTGTCTATTGATAAACCATGTCTATTGATAAACCATGTCTATTGTTTGTAGTGTTGCATGAGGCAATATGTACTGGCAATTCAGAACTGGTGGGTATGGTCCTGGCACTGAGGGACAGACAAGAATCAAACGACAGAGCCAAAGTAATAGTTGGTATGTGTCAGTCAAATCATGTTATAGCTTAAACTGAAGGTAATCCCTCACCTACTGGAGAAACTGGAGGCCTCAGCTGATTTTTATATCGAAATGAAGTGGGAATTCACCTCCTGGAGTGAGTCTGTTTGTTGTTGTTGTTTTATTTTGTTGTTGTTTAGTTCCGTTGTTGTCCAGAATGTGTCCCAGTGATACTTACAAGATATGGAAGAAAGGTATTCATGTGCCATTGTCTTTAGTCTAGAGTGGTTCTAGGTACCAAGGTACGGGTTGATACCAGTTTGGTTGGTTTCCAAGGAATGAAGTGGTTGAGGGGAAACAGGTCCATCATATTTGAAGTCTCAGGTACCTCTCTCTCTCGTCCTAGTGTCACACGAGTTAAGCCACACCCCTTTAGCTAAAGGAGCTGTATTCTCTGAGATTGATCATGAGGAGCTGTCGATATGGGAACAACCTTTTGTGATGGATGAGTAAGTGGGTGTGGTTTGAGCTGATTAGATGCTATCGTTACACAGTCGCCAGTTGAATCCTGTTCAACAAATGCTGAGTCATGAGCTATCAGTATATCGGAGACTAAAGGCCCCAGTAGTATCAACAGTCTTTATGTCTCAGAATGTTTCCTTTGAAAGGTATTGTTGTTGTTGTTATGTTGTTGTTTTTTGTTGTTGTTGTTTTTATGTTTTTTGTTGTTGTTTTTAGACAGAAGTCTGGTATTTGGGGCTTTAGGAGTGATAGAACTGAAGTTGTTAATGGTTATAAAGCTAAGGTCAGTATACTCCAGTTTACTTTTCAGTATACTCCAGTATATTGTTAGGTTTTTTCGGCTAGTGGTTTGGATATTGTAACTAGAACAAGAGTTGATCATTTGCCGGAAGAAGAGAAAGAAAAACAAAAAAGTAATTTCAATGAGCAGATTTACTGTACTAAGAATAAATGCAACCAGTTCTCTTCTGTACAATATTAAATGTTTATTTTATTAAATTAATGTTGATATTCTTGATAAGATGCTTCGGCCAGTCCATTGCAAGATTTCCTTGGCATGACACAAGAGGAGGAGGGAATAGAAGGGAGTTTACCGTCAGCTGGTGGGCTACTGTCAGGGGGTGGGGCTACTACTGAAGAAACCACACCCACTTTGAGTCTAACGGAATACTTTACACCTCCAGGGGACCCAAAGAAATATGATGGTAATAATAATTAATAATAATTAATGATAATTAATAATAATTAATAATAATTAATGATAAATCTTGTGCAGCCATAGGGTCGAAGGCTACAGTCTACAGCCGGTTGCAAGGTTTAAGAGCTAACGTGTGGCTCTCTGAAGAATATCCATTATCACTTCAGGACCAAATACTACCAATAATTGAACTGATGGTATGTGATGTCATATGATGTCATTATTAGTAATTAATTAATTAGTCGTTGAATAACGCTCACTTTGCAAAACTGAAGGACTTCATTACATTACAAATGCCAGCTGGCTATCCTGTGAAGTTTGGTAAGATTCATGTACATTTACATGTATTTATTGTTATTCTGTAGAAATTCCGTTATTTCATGTGATGTCTGCTCGTGTTACATTTGGTAACATTAATGGTCACACCCAGCCAGTGCCTCATGTGTCACTAAAGACTGAAGAAGTGTTTGGAAGTGAATCAACTCAAGCAATAAGAACAACCTTTCATGAGGTACAGGAGGGGACCCGAGGGGACGCCCCTCTCACTATATGGTTTAGGGTACCTCCAGTGTCAAGAGACGTCACACTAGCTCTGAATCAGAACCAACTGATTGCACTAGTGTTGTAGCCACACCCACCACACGAGAGACTAAGGAAGTTTGTATCATCAGTAAAGAGGCATTCACTAGACCAGCTGGATACAGAGTAAGAGGAGGAGGGGGAGGGGAGAGTGAGAGAGGACTAGAGGAACAAGAAGAAGAAATATTACAATTGGCAATAAAACAAAGTTTAATAGAACAAGGACTACCACCAGCTGATGAAACACAAGTAACTAATCCACTGTAGATTGTATACATGTACATGTACTCACTGTATGTAACAATATACAATTTTCAACGTTTTCTTAAAATGGCCGTAACTTGAAAAATTGAAGTCGGAATCAGCTCAAACTTTCTACACAGCATAAGGGCATCAATATGTGTCAGAAAATGGAATAAAAACTTGGGGTGATTTTTTGGCCATTTTTTGGAAAAAACCATGGACTATAGTCTTGGGTATTTTTCAGATTTTTAACGTTTTCTTAAAATGGCCGTACCTTGAAAAATTGAAGTCGGAATCACCTCAAACTTTCTACACAGCATAAGGGCATCAATATGTATCAGAAAATGTAGTAAAAACTTGGGGTGATTTTTTGGCCATTTTTTGTAAAAAATCATGGACTATAGTCTTGAGTATTTTTCAGATTTTTGACGTTTTCTTAAAATGGCCGTAACTTGAAAAATTGAAGTCGGAATCACCTGAAACTTGCTACACAGCATAAGGGCATCAATATGTATCAGAAAATGTAATAAAAATTTGGGTTGATTTCGGAGCCATTTTTTGGAAAAAAAACCATGGACTATAGTCTTGGATATTTTTCAGATTTTTGACGTTTTCTTAAAATGGCCGTAACTTGAAAAATTGAAGTCGGAATAAGCTCAAACTTTCTACACAGCATAAGGGCATCAATATGTATCAGAAAATGTAGTAAAAACTTGGGGTGATTTTTTGGCCACTTTTTGTAAAAAAAACCGTAGACTATAAGTCTTGGGTATTTTTCAGATTTTTAACGTTTTCTTAAAATGGCCGTACCTTGAAAAATTGAAGTCGGAATCACCTCAAACTTTCTACACAGCATAAGGGCATCAATATGTATCAGAAAATGTAGTAAAAACTTGGGGTGATTTTTTGGCCACTTTTTGTAAAAAACCGTGGACTATAAGTCTTGGGTATTTTTCAGATTTTTAACGTTTTCTTAAAATGGCCGTAACTTGAAAAATTGAAGTCGGAATCAGCTCAAACTTTCTACACAGCATAAAGGCATCAATATGTATCAGAAAATGTAACAAAAACTTGTGGTGATTTTTTGGCCATTTTTTGTAAAAAACCATGGACTATAGTCTTGGGTATTTTTCAGATTTTTGACGTTTTCTTAAAATGGCCGTAACTTGAAAAATTGAAGTCGGAATCACCTGAAACTTGCTACACAGCATAAGGGCATCAATATGTATCAGAAAATGTAATAAAAATTTGGGTTGATTTCGGAGCCATTTTTTGGAAAAAACCATGGACTATAGCCTTGGGTATTTTTCAGATTTTTACGTTTTTTAAAAATGGCCGTATCTTGAAAAATTGAAGTCGGAATTAGCTCCAACTTTCTACACTGCATAAGGACATCAATATGTATCAGAAAATGTAATAAAACTTTGGGGTGATTTCGGAGCGATTTTTTGGAAAAAACCATGGGCTATAGCCTTGGGTATTTTTCAGAATTTTTGCATTTTCTTAAAATGGCCGTAACTTAAAAATTTGAAGTCGGAATCAGCTCAAACTTTCTACACAGCATAAGGGCATCAATATGTATCAGAAAATGTAATAAAAATTGGGGGTGATTTTGGAGCCATTTTTTGGAAAAAACCATGGACTATAGCCTTGGGTATTTTTCAGATTTTTGACGTTTTCTTAAAATGGCCGTAACTTGAAAAATTGAAGTCTGAATCACCTCAAACTTTCTACACAGCATAAGGGCATCAATATGTATCAGAAAATGTAATAAAAATTTGTGGTCATGTTTGAGCCATTTTTTGAAAAAAAAAACATTTTGGTATCTGGCTAAATTTTCCAAAAACGAAGAGTAGATAATTCTCCATATTTTTATTACATTATTTTGCATTACTATAGACATTAACTCTTAGTGAAGCACTAGTTGATGAATCTGTTTCTAATTTTGGGTCAGCACGGCACCATGAGGAACAGCAGAGGTATATGTGAAGCCACACCCACTGTAATTAAGTCACACCCATTTTAGGTATACTCAATCAACTGACACTGATTTAGAACTGGCTCTGGCCTTGAGTCAAATACAAGCAAGCTCTGAGACCAGAATTAGGAACGAAGAAGATGAAGAATTAGAACGAGTTTTGAAATTATCACTGCATGATAAATAATTTAGTAACAATAATAACAATAATAATAATAATAATAATAATAATAATAATAATAATAATAATAACAATAATCATAGTTTTGTTGTTTTTATTTTACAATAATGTCAAAATGTCTTTCTCATATTCTAAAAAGAAGGCACACATGTAGAGTACATTAATATCAATCAATTACTTTTTAACAATCTGTACAACATCTTCATCATTTAAAACGTGTTCCTTCCCAACACTTTGAGGATTATGTTTGACAGATGACCCCCAGACTAATGCACTGCAAGGAAAAATACTTTAAAACAATACATGTTCACGATCATTATTACTATTTGAATTCTTTCATGATGCTTTTATGAATATTATTACACAAATCTTCGACTGATGAATGTCCTTGATGCAATACGACTGGTGTAGCATAATCGGGTAACTGACCTTTGGGTTTAGTATAACTGTAGAAAGAATCTATTATTAGTAACAGTCATCTATTATTAGTAACAGTAATCTATTATTAGTAACAGTCATCTATTATTAGTAACAATAATCTATTATTAGTAACAGTATTCTATTATTAGTAACAGTATTCTATTATTAGTAACAGTAATCTATTATTAGTAACAGTCATCTATTATTAGTAACAGTCATCTATTATTAGTAACAGTCATCTATTATTAGTAACAGTATTCTATTATTAGTAACAGTAATCTATTATTAGTAACAGTAATCTATTATTAGTAACAGTAATCTATTATTAGTAACAGTAATCTATTATTAGTAACAGTCATCTATTATTAGTAACAGTATTCTATTATTAGTAACAATAATCTATTATTAGTAACAGTATTCTATTATTAGTAACAGTAATCTATTATTAGTAACAGTAATCTATTATTAGTAACTAGTACCCTTACATTCTGACTAAGCTGAGATAGTTCCACATTTTTTCCAGTAGGTCATCGAAATTCCACTTATGATGAGCTGAAATTGGAACAGCATGAGGTATACGATAAATAATATCCAACTCCTGATAAACAACAATAAAAAAACAACAACAAACAATTCTTATTACTTCAATAGTGATTTGATCAATTTTATTCAACAGATAGATACAAGGAATGTATATCCTACAAAGCAAGAAGATACACACGCAATACGTCTCCTCACTGAGTGTGTATGGTCAAGTACCTGTTTCCTTCAACCACGTCTATTAGGTCATCAGCTGTAGCATCACATCTTAACGTCACATCAGCATTATGGACCCTGTACTCTGAGAGGATACTACGGACACTGTCAAGATCTAACTGCGACTGGGGGACCTTTTAATGCATTAATAAAGATTAATTAATTAATTAATTGATTAGTGACTCACAGCACATGTCAAATTAATTCCTCCTTTATCTTTCTTCTTGTAATGAATATTAGGAGGTTTTTTATTTAACCTGTAAGCAACAATAAACAACAATAAACAACAATAAACAACAATAAACAAACAACAATAAACAAACAATAAACAAACAATATTAATACATTACCTGATTCCAAAACCTTCCAGTTCTTTTTCTAGTATTTTCTTGTGTTCGAGTGGTTTCAAAACATCCAGGACTATGAATATTAGACTGCAGGTTCTAGCAACTGCTATCACCTGTCGGCCCCGCCCCTTTCCATCCTTAGCACCTTCGATAATACCAGGAAGATCCAGCAACTATCAATCAATAACAATAAATAAATAAATAAATAAATAAATGAATACTTGTATTTTAGCTCCTTTATATCTGATGACACCCGGTACTGTAGTTAGTGTGGTGAACTCATAAGCAGCAACTTCAGAATAGACTCCAGCAAGATTAGTCAGTAGAGTTGACTTACCGACTGATGGAAAACCTATCAATATTTATTAATATTATAAAAATTGTAACCCACCAAGAATTACAAAAATTTTAGGTTAAACCTTATGGCAAAACTCATCGCCTGGTCAAAACAATAGACCACATCTCTTTAATTAATAAACTGACCTACAAATCCAACTCTAGCATCTCCAGTTTTAGCTACATCAAATCCTTCCCCACTAGCTCCGCCCCCTCCTTTAGGCTGAATCAATTCCCTTCTCAGTTTAGCTAATCTTGCCTTCAATATTCCGAGATGATTGGCTGTGGCTTTATTCCTCTGAGTACGGGCCATCTACCACCACCAGTAGCAGTAGCAGTAGCAGTAGTATTGTACAGGGTAAGTGGATGGTGTGACTTACCTCGGCCTCTATCTCTGCTATCTTCTCTAATATTGTTGGCATCTTCTTTGACTAGACTTTCAGATATCATTAATAGTGGGCGTGGCTTAATATATTGTGCGTGGGTGTTGGCAGATATGGTGAGAGTCTGCCTTGTAATAATAATAAGTTATTTTTATTTTTTGTTTCGTTAGTCAAAAAGAAAGGGACTTAGTTTGGAGGAAAAGAGACAGAGATTACTGCAGATCTTTTATGAAAAAGTTAAGGGCATTTTAAAGTACTAATTATAATTAAAATGAAATACTTCATTTTAGAAAGAATTTTTTCAATTAAAAGAGCTAGAAAAGATTGCCCCAAAAGAGAAAGGAATAAGTAAATACTGTAATATAATTATTTATTAATCAACAGCTGCTCTATAGCCCTCCAGTCAGTAAAAGATGTCTTACAGTCACTAGTTGATGATGGACTGGTCGACTCGGAAAGGATTGGAACTTCTAACTATTTCTGGTCCTTTCCCAGCAAAGCATCAAATATTGTATGAAGCAGCGACTTCGTTTACCCTCAACTTTTGTTTTTGATTAGAGAAAGAGAAAGAGAGATGAGTTAAAGGAAAAATTGGAATCATTAAAAAGAAGAAAAGTTAATTTAGAGCAATTGTTGAAAGATACTTTGAAAGGAAGAGAAGAAACAGTTAGTGTCAACCATGTCATTACTGGTATCCATTATTAACGTGCATAGGCAGAGCGGACTGCTGTATTGGAGTCTCTAGAGGAGAAGAATGCTTTGAAAGTAGATCTTAAAATGGAGTTGGATAAGTATAAACACTGTGATCCAGAGGCCATCGGAAACTTGCAAAAGGAAACAGTCACAGCAACCGAAGCTACTAACAGATGGACAGGTAGCAAATTTGAAAATGATTTGAATCAGTTCAAACTTTCTATACAACATAAGTACATGTATATGTATCAGAAAATGTAACAAAATTAAGGAATTCTCTCTCTTTCAATTTCTTAGAAAACGTGTTCACAATCAAGAGTTGGTGCAAGAATAAGTTTGGAACGGAAGAGAGTACCTTAAATAGTCTATTTAACATACCTGAGGAGTTAGATTATATTTAAGAAATAAATAATAACAACATGTATTATATATATGATAAGACTATTATTGTTATAATTAATAATAATTAATCATTGCAATAAAAATGGTCTAAATTAAAATAATATAAATAAATAATTAAGTCGTGTTGTCATAGAAACACAACAATAAATAAATAGAATTTGATTTGACATTAATAAATAATAAGTTATCACATTGTGAATATTAATCATTAATTAAAAGGGGAGGAGTTATTCGTCATGACAACCCAAGATGAGCAGGTCTATTTGCGGGCGGAGACAATTTCAGATTAAAACCAGGAGAAACTAAATTACCTTTATCAACCTAACACCAATTATTAATTAATTAATTAATTAATTATAACTAACCTCATTAGTTCTGATACTGTTTATTCCTTTCAATAACGGAATGTGGGAGTGGTCACTGCCATTAACCACCGGTGCCTTTATCATTGTACTATTACCCGAAGTTTCCTCCATTATAGTGCTCTGAGTGTAGAGTAGGGAGGAGGCAGCAGTTGATGAGACCGTAAGGGGAGAGGGGGCGTTGAAACCAAACACTTGATTGGTTTCCGTGGTAACCGGTGACAGGTGCTTATGAGGTGACCTCAAGGGTCTGTTCCGATAGGAAGAAGGAGAACTGACTGAATGAGAATAGACATCCTCCAGGAAAGAGTCAGCAATGTAAGTGAACCCCTGTTAGGAATAGAGTATACAGTGCAGTGTCTATGGGAGGGGCCGGTTACTTTAAAGTTCATATCAGCACTGGCACTGATGGTAGTATCAACAGGTGAATCCACTGGGAGGAGTGTAGTGAACTTAGTATCAAACTGACTGACATCATCATCTCCTCTCTAAATATAGTAACACTCTGTTACTAATAATAGTAACATACCACTGGTATCTTGAAAGGTGGTTCAACCTTTTGATTAAATAAATCCTCCCAATTTATCATCTTAAAGAAACGATGCTCCTAAACCAGACACATAATGATTAATAATACAAAGCCACACCCACTTTAATTGGTTTATTGTCCTCGGGGCCACTCCCCAGTCTGTTTGGAGGGTGTCTCTTAAGTAGCTTCTTTATGATATCCTTAGCATCAGCTGTTAAATATGGAGGTAGATACAATCGACCGTGTAATATTCTATCTATCGTCTTCTTTCTATTGTCAGCACAAAATGGCGGCTACAATAAACTCAATTACATTATTAGAGACAGGTCCTCTACTCACGGCTCCTGTCAGCATGTCGTACATTAAAGTACCCAGACTCCACCAATCAACTGCTTTCCCATGGCCTATACGCTGCAGTATCTCCGGAGCCCTTCAGTAATTAATTAATTAATACTGATATAACTAATATACTTACATGTATTCAATGGTACCACAGAATGTGTTGGTGGTTGCTTCTCCATGAAGTGATTCTTTACTGAGTCCAAAATCAGTTAAAACAACGTGTCCTTTTCCATTGAGCATTATATTCTCAGGCTTGAGGTCTCTACAATGTGTTGATGTAAAGTGTGACGTGACGTGAGGGCACTACCTGTATATGATACCATTGCTGTGGAGGTGTCCGATTGCTAGTGTAATTTCAGCTAAATAGAAGCTGGAATGATAAGATCAATGAATATAATTAACAGTGTATGAATATCATTAACAGTGGTCTGTCACACCTGGCAGTGTCTTCAAGGAACACTCCTTCTCTCTCCAATAAGGCAAACAGTTCACCACCTTACATAAGAGTATGGTTGCTAGGATATTGAACTGTGTTTGTCTTACCACTGAGGTAGTCCAGTATCAAATACAGTTTACCATTAGTCTGGAATGCATACAACAGGCTCACGATGAAGGGATGCTAAAGGAAGACAAGGGAACTGAAACTGATCATGTGAGCAGTGAACTATTAGCTGGACTGCATGATAGTGTGTACTGACAACAAGTTGAAATGATGTCATCAGTCTATTAGTGAGTGTATGATCTCACTTGGATAGCTTCCAGAATGTTCCTCTCGCTCCTAGTGTGCATAGTGTCCTTCTTACTCCTTACAATGGAAGCCTGCCCATACATTACATGATACACATTACTCCTTATTATTATTATTATGTTTCTGTTTACTTTCTTTAAAACTTTCATTGCAAATATTCTTCCTTTATCCTTACCACCTGTCCTCTTACGGACCTGGAACACCTGGTAACCATAGGAACCAACCAATAAACAAGAAGTGAACCACTCCCCTACCTTTCCATAGCCTCCTTTACCGAGGACCTTCAACAATTCAAAACAATCAGGGCCTATCTTCTCCGGAGTGTTGTTTATCGATTCTGGAGTGATGTCCAATGTCTCCAGACAGCTATTATGACATTATAAATATTATTATTGGATTAATTAGTAGTGGCACATGTCCATCACATGCAAAGGGGACACCATGTACAGTACACCATTGGAAGCTTATACAAACCATTGATCTGTTATCATAACAAGACCAATAAGAAAGGGAGTATGGGCCATAATAATAGTGTTAATAAGAAACCATAAGGGGGAGAGGGGTTACCCTGCAGTTGAGTCAATGTTCACTCCACCAGATACAAGACCAGAATTATCTTCTATTAATGTACCATCCATCATTTCTTCAACCTAACAGAGCACAATATTACACGCACACACACACAGGGCCAGTAAAGTGGCCAGTGGATTGTGAGGTACTTCATCATCAGATCCTATCTCTTCTTGATCTAGTTCCAGTCCATCAGCTAGGTCAGGGTCTGACATTATCAGTAGAATTATGGCACGGATTGATCCTGCCCTCTCTTGAAAAGGAAACAGTCCAAACAACACGTGAAAGACAAATGGTGCAGGGATTATATAATGACTGCTGGGAAGAGAGGCCGGGGGCTGGGGCCGGGGAGGAGGAGGAGGAGGATCATATCATCATCGCATCATCAGTGGATGAATCATGTGTCGTTCAGTGTCGCGCATGCGCAGGAGAAGAGCTGAGACTGACTCCATTACCCTCTCTCTCACTCTGCTCTTGTTCATTAGTCCTCTCATTATGGCTGCCACTAAAAGACTTGCTAAAGTTAGTACAATATGTGTGTGTGTATTCTTTTACGACTGAAGTAGGAATTAGATGAGATAAGGAAGTCTGGACAAAAGGTCTTTAGAGAAGTCCAAGTGAATGAGACTAACATATTGAAATGGAGTGGTCTTATAGTACCAGTAAGTGTTCCATTACCTCCTGTCATTGGTGAATTGCCTCTAGGATAACCCACCTTATAATAAAGGTGCTTTTAGAATTAACATTGAATTCATGGCAGAATACCCTTTCAAACCGCCAAAGATAGTCTTTCTTACTAAAATATATCATCCAAATATCGACGAGAAGGGACAAGTATGTCTTCCCATTATAAGCCCCGAGAACTGGAAACCAGCTACAAAAACTGATCAAGGTATTCGCTCATTTATATTTTATTTATGTCATGTCTTTATTTTAGTGATCCAGGCTCTTGTTGCATTAGTACATGATCCGGAACCAGAGCATCCACTGAGAGGAGAAATAGCTGAAGAATACACAAGAGATAAAAAGTTATTTTTGAAAAAAGCTGAAGACTTCACTTTAAAGTTTGCTGAGAAGAGGCCAGCAGACTGATGGCAATTCTTAGGGAGTTGTTTAGTAGCTGTACACTGATAGTTATTGTTGTTATTATTATTATTATCTTTTTAAGTGTTGACGTTAATTTAGTGTAATTGTTTCTGTTCATTGATTACAAACTTTTATAAAGTTATAACAATAATGGTTTCTTTGTGTGTGAATTATGTTATTATTATTATTATTATTATTATTTAGTTGTTTTACAACAAAATCATTATTTTGAGAACTGACAATGTGAATGCGCTTCGAAATTCACAAATCTAATTTCGATATGAATCAGCTCAACTTCATTACATGTACATACTACAATCTATACATCAGTACTTCAAATTGATCAGCTATACTTTGAAATAATAGCTATTACAATACTAATAATAATAATAATAATAATACACAAATTGTACTACAAGTGTTTGGTTCACGTCTTCTAGTTTTCGTTTGCAAATTTCACTCCTTTTTCAATATTTCCCAGTAGTTCTGGCATTGCCTAATAAGATGACGCATTACTGGTGAATACTGCACTGTGATAAGAAATGAATTACTTCTGCTAATTTCTGTTGTTCAAAATTTGACAAGGTTCCCATTCCTAAATTTTTCTCTAATCCACGAGGCTATAGGTAGGAGAGGTTATATAATTAATTGATGTGGGCGTGACTTACTCCTAATTGAAGAGGAGTAGCAAAATAAGCAGCTTCAGTGACATTAGAAGCCACATAAGCACACTCAACCACACTCTCTCCTTTCATTCCTCTTAGCAACTGAAGACAAGAGAATATAAAATGAGGTATGATGTTGAATGACTTACTGAAAAAGCAAATCTAGCACCTGCATATGCCATTGATAACGTCGCAGAACCCTATCAACAACAACAACAACAACAATAATAATAATAATAAATATAAATACGTACAGCTCCAGCTTTAGCCTTCACGACTTCAGTCCCAGCCTCTTGTATTCTCGTGGTTAATGAAGACACTTCATCATCAGTGAACGAGACTGAGGGAGTGACCTAAGAAAGATTAATACACCACAAGTACCAGTATATACATGTATTATTGACAGGCGGATACACAGTGAGAGTGTGTGTGTAAGTATATACTTGTGACAACAGTGGGAGTATAGTGACCCCAGAGTGTCCTCCTATTACTGGCACGTTAGTAGCTGATACATCAAGTCCCTTAGCCTCAGCTATGAAGGTATTGGCTCTCACCACGTCCAATGTACTAACACCAAATATCCTACAGGCATTAAATAGAATAAAGTACTTCTATTTAGAGCCCAAACCTGCATGGATCATACACTCCGGCCTTCTTGTAGACTTCGGAGGCAATTGGTACGGTTGAGTTGACAGGGTTAGAAATAATACCCAACATTGCATTAGGACAAGCTCTAATAAACTAACTAATAAAGAACAAATGAAATGAAGTTATGTACTTAGCAGCTGCTTGAGATAATTTCAACACAATTGTAGCATTAGTATTGAACAGGTCATCCCTAGTCATACCTAATTAATAATAATCAATAATTAATAATAATGATGATTGCTGTTAATACCGGGTTTACGAGGTACCCCAGCTGGTATTAATACTACATCACAACCAGTCAGAGCTTCATTCAACTGGTCTGGTCCCTCAAAAGAGCTAACCTACACAACAGATAAGAGACCATTCACCATTGTATTGGAGGGGATGTCTATTGTTGTCAAATGTTCTCATACAAAGGAACTGTAACTGGATTAGCATCCACCAATGAAAGTAATGGTGTATTAACCTGAGCTGGTGTTTCAATGTGGCTGATATCAGCAGCAACTCCGGCAGTGTTAACGACATCATACAGTACCAGTTGAGAAACGAGAGGAGACTGTTTCAAGAGGAGTGCCATTGGCTGGCCTATGCCACCTGCAGCTCCTAAAACAGCAACTTTAGCTTGAGGCTATGGAGAAATAATAACTAACAATAATAATGGAGTCCTCTTACAGTGGAAGAGGTAGAAAGTAGCCTCCCTCCATATCTCAGGACAGAACTGACTGACAACCTACCCAGAGACATCATTACTACACAACACCTTCAATGGTCGATTATGGTCCGGTGTACCAGTGTACCTGATGGAACACTCTACTGAGCATGTGCAGTGATGGTTGCCAATAGCAACCAATACACAACATGTACAAGAGGAGCAGTGCAGGTCTGTCTTTGTGCGAGCCCACTACTTTATACAACCTCATTACCCGGGTGAGCCTTATGATCCATCATCCTCTACGTGTTTCATTTTAACAAACACACAGTGTGACAGAAAGCCATCAGTCCTAGACTCCAATTACTTATTGATATTAGGTATGATACAGTTAATGTCTTTGTGAAGCTACAGTGTGTTATTGTGCAGATGTGAGAAATAGAAAAGATTATGAACACAGTCATATAACACTGGCAAAGCACATTGAAGAGGTAATGGCAAGGATATGATCAGTAGTTATATACAGTATAATACTGCATGTACAGGTAAAGGAAGCAGACACTGGTAATAGTAAGTACAGGACACCATTTGGTGCTGATGTCAGTACTGTACTCCATTGTGTGGTGTATGATGGAAAGACAGTATCATTAATTGAAGACAGTAAGAGAGAGAGACATTGACACTCTCAGTTCATATTCCCCGCTCCTAACAGATTCTGCTATTAGACTGGCTACAGAGCTTGCTGAGAATGGCTCAAAGAATCCTGTGCTAGTTTTAAAAGGTATACAAAGTAGATACATCTTGACAAGCTAACAGGATCATTATGTGGTGTAGGGGGCTATGAAAGATTCTCTGCTGAATATCCATTTTTAAGAACTCAAAAGATACTTTATACTCCAAAAGTAAATGATAAGTTACATGTGAATCAACTTAAACCATAACAGGAATTAGAACACTTGCCTCACTATCCAAGCGAAATATTACCACATTTTTTATACCTTGGAGATGAGAGGCATGCCTATAATCCATTGCTAAGTTATGACATAAAAATAAAAGGACACATTAACGTGAGCAGTGATCTGTACTCCGCATGGCCAGAAACTGTTAATGAAGTACATGTTGATGTTCAAGATGTACCTCAAGCAAACCTCCTGGAGAGATTTGAAGAAGTTTGTTCATTCATAGGTAAGCAGAGAATGATGGACCCTCAGTATCATTGTGTATCTTTAATATAACAGAGTCTTATAGGAAGAAAAGTGAAACTGTTCTTGTATTTGGTAATAAAGGGATGAGCAGAAGTGCCACTCTTGTAGCAGCTTACCTCATTTACTACAAGAACATGAATCATAAGGTAATAGCTAGTATCATCATTATCAATAATCATCATTATTATCACTGTGATAGGTTGCTTTAGACTATATAAGAAACTGTAGGCCTAATGTAAAGCCACTGAAATCATTTGTAGATCAACTGAAGGAATGGGAAAAAATGCAGTCTGAACCAAAATAATTAATTATAATACAGTGTAAAATTTCATTTAAAAAGTTAATAATACTCATAATGGTGCTGGGAATGTTATAGTGACTGCATGCAATCATTATAATCTCAATAATAATAATAATAATGATCTTTATTTTAAATAAGTCTGCCTCTACAGTTAGAGGATCCACACATACACTTGACAGCTTTTCCTTCAACACTTCCAATGATGTAATTATAATCCCAAAACAATTGACTATAGGCAGGTATTAAACTAACAACAATAATAATAATAATGAATAATAATGAATAATAATGAAGGAACAAATAATGGTTCAAACCTCTGAGCAAAGAAGGCAACAGATGGAAATCGAATGTCATGAGAATCAACAAAAACATTTTGAACAAATAAATTAGGAGAACAGCTATGCTATGATAGGAACCACCAGTTAATAATGATGACCACACCCACTCAAACTTACGTTAATAAATCTTGCTACATTACCATAAGAACTGGCATCAATAACATAAGAATGAGATTCATTGAAGAATGAGCGTGTTAATGGAATCGAATAAGATGAAAGGCCTGACTATAAATAATTATAAATAATAATAATAATAATAATAATAATAATAATAATAATAATAATGGATACTTGTGGTGTATTTGAAGATAAAGAGACCAGATAGTGTCCATCTTCATCAATTAAATCATTATCTTCATTAAGTAATGGAGAGCAGGACATGTTGCTGCCAGTAGTACTGATCTGGTTTGAAGTGTCACTGTCACTGTTGCTGCTTGATGACAATACCAATGAGCCTTCAGAAGATGATGTACCACTGATACCACCATCACACTCCTTAGCATACTCCAGCACTTCTATCAAACACTGGACAATGATAAAGGATAGCTGATAGCTGGACATTACCTATATAATCTAGCTCTGCTAGATAATTGTCTCCAAAATCCAAGCCAGTTCTATTAGCTATTTCATCATTCATAATGAGTCCAACATAGGAACACACAAAAGATCCTTGGGGTATGTCTTCTAATGTCAGTACACCCCACCCACTTTAAAATAACAAATAATTATTATTACGTATTAGTTAAAGCACTGTTGAGAGTAGGTTACGGAAATTATTGCACGAGGGGCGGTCGAGAGGAAAATGTAGCACAAGGCGAAGCTGAGTGCTACATTTTCGTCGAGACCGTCCCGAGTGCAATAATTTCCGTAATCTACGAATCAACAGTGCTTTGATTGGTTTGTAGTGGTGCGTGGGCGGATCAAATGAAATTTCAAAGTCTCGCAGGTCACCAGCACAAGACGATCAGATCTCATTTATCACTATTATTATTGTTACATGTCTAGTGTGTAGCTGAGGCTGCTATTTGCCTCTATCAAAGCTTGTGGTTAACAGGAAAGCCCATACATATTATACTATGCAGTACTATATATTCCGCACAGTGCTACATTTTCCTACCATGCGGTTATTGGAAGTTGTAGCACTGGCTGCGCCTTTGATCCACCCACGCACCATACTACAAGGATACTTAAAGATACTTACATGTCCTTAGTCTTGAATACCATTAGCTTGTGTTTGATGCCATTTTGAATTACTCTATTACCACAGCTGCTGCTACACTGACAGTACTTGTTACATTCGTATAACCTAATCATAATAATGAAACCATACAATTGTACATGTTGAACTAACCCAGAAACAAGTTTAGACATTAATCTGTTGCTATTATCATACCCATCAGTAATATTGGATTTATTCGGCCTAGTCAAGCCCTGCCCCTCATCTTCCGTCAATTGACGACAGCTACAGTGAGACAAGCTGCACTGATCAGAACAACCACAACGAATCATAAACCCGTTATCCGTTTCCATGGAAACACCAGAATCCAAACAGCAGTCTTTAACATAATTGAATGGTGGAACAGATCGTGTATCAACCCAATTTAAACACTGAAGGACAGCAGATGGAGTAGGGTGGGTAAAAAGGGATCAGTATTTCAATGGCTAACTGGTATCTGAAGAGTTTCTTTTCCATTAGATATATCCTCCACAAAAAAGCTGAAGACATTCTATTGTAACTACAACATCAGAACTAGTATAATCCACACACGAACCTGGCATAGAGTCTTCAATGGAGACGGTGACACAGACGTCATGATGAGTACATGCAGTGTATGCTGCTGCCACTGCCAGGTGATGGGTGGGTTTGGTTTGATTCAAGATTGACATTAAAAATTTAAACCTTATCAGTGCTTTTTTTAGAGTTTTGGCCATCCTCAAAAATTGATTTACAAAAAATAAGTATTGATATAATATCTGCCATTATCTGGTGCATGATCATGTTAAATAAAATTGAGTACGTTTGCATTAAGTGTTGCATCTATTGCTGCAGGCAGGGATTGTCAGGTTTTCCGTATTCACAAGGTCCTTCAATAGAAGGATCATCATTCTCGTCAGCAGCACCTTTATCAAGAGCAAGTGCTTCTGGTTTGACTGGTTCAGCAGGTTCTGTTCATCGTTAAATTAATTAATATTCATTGATTGATGCTTACCATAGGACCTATTAGAAGATAAAAGGGGTGGGGCAATGGGTGTGGTCTGAGCTACAGGGGCAGTGGGTGGCACTTTTTGCATGTACGAGAATCTGGAACAATCCATGAGTTTAGGAGTCACTGGTTGCATAGCAACAGGGCTTGGTGCTGCTGGCTCTTTGGTGTCCTCATATTTAAAACGATAAATATTCCTTTCTTTTCTGATTCTAGCGACATCTTCACTGAGAGAGAGAGAAAGAGAGGGAGAGAGATAGAGGGAGAGAGGGAGAGAGAGGGAGAGAGAGAGAGAGAGAGAGGTATACATCAGGACAAGACGTGTAGGGGTACAAGTGTTTTGATAAAAACACTACAAAACAATTCTCCATTTTTATTACATGTACTCTTTCTGATGCATACACACGTATTTATGTTGTGTAGCAAGTTTGAACTGATTCAAATCAAAATTGAATTATTTAAGAAATTTTAAAGTTGCTCAAAGTGCCATGACATGTACTGTATTGTATTGTACTATGAGCTCCTGAAGCTCAGCTACAACTACTGTAATCAATGATGTATTGCCAAGAGTAGTTACTAGTTGTAGTGTAGGGTATCACCTCAGGACCAATTGATGGCCTGGGTTAATGAAGACCATCATTAATACAGTAGAACCTACAGTGGAACCTACAGTAGTTATTAACTTATTTACTTGAGTTTCTCGTGAGTTTTATTTAATTGGAATATTTCTTCTTTTAATTTCAAGCAACTCCTTTGACTTTCATTATAAAGATCTTTAGGCACTAACAAACAACAACAACAACAACAATAATAATAATGACAATTATTATTATTATTATATTAAACGTACCTCTCGTATTTATCAATTCAGAATTTTTTTTCAGTAGACGCTAAGAGAATAATAATAATAATAATAATAATAATAATAATAATAATAATGATAATAATAATAATAATAATGATAATAATAATAATAATAATGATAATAATAATAATTATTATTAGTTACTTTATTATCAGTTAATATCAGTTCTATACTGCTGTCCTTTTCAACAAGAACTGCTTCCTAGTTGCAAATAATAAATAAATAAATAAAAATAGATTTGTAAATAAATAAATAATTAACAAACTTGATCTTTCAGTTTCTGTCTAGATTCACACAACTACAATAAAAAGTAACAACAATTAATTATAGCCCGAGACCACACCCACTATCCACCTCTTCCTGTAATCTCTTGATTTCATTCTTCAACTTACAACATTCCACAGACTATAAAATAAGACAATAATGGTATAACGGTAGGGTACAATGGTAAAACGGTGGGGTACAATGATCTAATGGTAGGGTACAATGGTCTAATGGTATGGTATACAATGGTCTAATGGTATGGTACACAATGGTCTGATAGTGGAGTACAATGGTCTAATGGTATGGTATACAATGGTCTAATGGTGGGGTACGATGGTCTAATGGTAGGGTGCAATGGTCTAATGGTAGGGTGCAATGGTCTAATGGTGGGGTACAATGGTCTAATGGTATGGTATACAATGGTCTAATGGTAGGTGCAATAGTCTAATGGTATGATATACAATGGTCTAACGGTGGGGTACAATGGTCTAATGGTAGGGTACAATAGTCTAATGGTATGGTATACAATGGTCTAACGGTGGGGTACAATGGTCTAATGGTAGGGTGCAATAGTCTAATGGTATGGTATACAATGGTCTAACGGTGGGGTACGATGGTCTAATGGTAGGGTGCAATGGTCTAACGGTGGGGTACAATAGTCTAATGGTAGGGTGCAATGGTCTAATGGTATGGTATACAATGGTCTAACGGTGGGGTACAATGGTCTAATGGTATGGTAAAATGATCTAACGGTGGGGTACAATGGTCCAATGGTAGGGTGCAATGGTCTAATGGTATGATACACAATGGTCTAATGGTAAGGTACAATGGTCTAATGGTTGTACCTCAGTTTCTTGCTCTTTCAATGTTTGACTGGCATCTATTAATAATAATTAAGAAATAATAATTAATAAATTAATGATAATAATTATTATTAATTACTTTCAGATTTCAGTTCTTCATATTTCTCTCGGTAAATATTTCTTTCAGTTCTGTACCGTTGTACAAGCTCTCTGTAGGCAGGAATATGGGTGGAGCCATTAATAATAATAATAATAATAATAATAATAATAATAATAATAATAATAATACTTGTTTTTCTGAAAATTTTCTTTCATTTCAAGATTATCAGCTTCAAGTTCACTACACTTCATAACAATAGCATCTCTAGCTTCCTCCAATTCCTAAAAATAAAAAAAAAATAAAAAAATAAATAATAATAATAATAATTCACCTGTATGTCATTAGTCAATGAAGATATTGTAGCATCATTTTCCTTCATAACAGCAATCTAAAAATAAATAAATAAATAGACAGACAATGATTATAGATATAACTACCATTTCTGTCATATTTTCTATTAGTCCTTTAGAAACACTGCTTTCAGAATCAGTCACTTCCTAAATTATTAATTATTAATAAACTATACAAGTGACGTGCATTAACAAACATACATGTAGTTTGATCTATAGAAAGTTTAGGAGACCCCAAATTTTTATTACATTTTCCGATACATATTGATGCCCTTATGCTGTGTAGAAAGTTTGAGATGATTCCAACTTCAATTTTTCAAGTTACGGCCATTTTAAGAAAACGTCAAAAATCTGAAAAATACCCAAGGCTATAGTCCATGGTTTTTTCCAAAAAATGGCTCCGAAATCAACCCAAATTTTTATTACATTTTCTGATACATATTGATGCCCTTATGCTGTGTAGCAAGTTTGAGCTGATTCCGACTTCAATTTTTCAAGTTACGGCCATTTTAAGAAAACGTCAAAAATCTGAAAAATACCCAAGGCTATAGTCCATGGTTTTTTCCAAAAAATGGCTCCGAAATCAACCCAAATTTTTATTACATTTTCTGATACATATTGATGCCCTTATGCTGTGTAGCAAGTTTCAGGTGATTCCGACTTCAATTTTTCAAGTTACGGCCATTTTAAGAAAACATCAAAAATCTGAAAAATACCCAAGGCTATAGTCCATGGTTTTTTCCAAAAAATGGCCAAAAAATCACCCCCAATTTTTATTACATTTTCTGATACATATTGATGCCCTCATGCTGTGTATGTGTGTACATTTACTTCAAATTGTAGACCTAATGAAGCTACTTTCTCATTTTCAGCATTCTAAAAATTAAAATTAAAATAATAATAATAACAATAAACAATGGTTAATAATAATGATACCATTTCTAGTCTCAAATCTTCAATTTCTTTACATTTAATTCCGAGTTTCTCTTCAGCCTCCACCAAACACTAATTAATTAATTAATTGATTGATTAATTAATTTAAAGAAATTACTTTACGTAAACCAGAAACTTCAGTCTCCATAGCAACACTCTACAAAATAAAAATGATATAATTAATTAATATAACTTACTTTATTAGACATTAGTTCGTTAAGTTCCTTCAACTAATAAATAACTGTTAATAACTAGCCACACCCCTTCTCTCACCTCAGCTTCATGTTTCTCTTCATTCAAATTCATTTTCGACTGTAAACAATAAACATAAACAATAAACATAAACAAAGTGTTTGTGTTTACTTCAAATTGTAAAGCCTGTTCATTTAGCAATTCCTTGTACTTCTTAGTCTAATAAATTAACATTATTAAATTTAATAATTAATTAATTAATTGCTTCAGTTACATTAATACTGTAGACTTGATTGTCACTGATAATTTCAGATTTAAGTTGATCAATTTCTGCCTAATAAATAATAATAACAATAACAATAATAATAATAATAATAATAATAATAATAATAATAACAATAACAATAATAATTTTTTTTTTAAATTATTTTAACAACAACAACAACAACAACAACAACAACAATAATAATAGTAATTTTTAAAGCAGGTTAATTTAAGGAAAGGAAAGGAGAGAGAGAAAGATAGAGAGAGTTAGAAAGATGGAGAAAATTGTAATAATAATAATAATAATAATAATAATAATAATAATTTACTGATAGCACTGCCTCTACTTCTTGTGCTTTAACTTCACTTTCATCAAGTTTAAACTGAAGCTGAAATAAATTAAAAATACTAATTATTATTAATTTTAGCAAACAAAACAAGTTCCAGTTTAATTAATACTACTGCACCTCTTCCAGTTTAGTTTCATTTAATTTCAGTTCGTTATAATGAGGACACTTGAAGGAGGCGTCCATATTGACAAAGACACACTCGTTAATGTTCCTCATGGCTTGTAGAGTAATCTCTGGATCAATGCAAGCAATGGGTGTGGCTTCGCTATCAGTTTGGGTACTGGCATCAACACTGAACTCATCAAATAACTAATAAACAAACAAATAAATAAACAAATAAATAAACAAACAAGCAAGATACTGACTGGAAGCAGTGATTGTGACTCTAAGGTCTCCTCTCCTCTTGATGGTTTCTTCCGTCTCAAGGTAACGTTAGGCAGAATGAAGGTTCTACATGGAACAGTGCTGGAGGGTGTGGCCATTACACTGGGCGTGGCAGTGGGTGTGGTGAATGACCTGTGCTTGTTAAACAAAGGACTGTCTAGTACCAGCTGTTTATCAGCAACAAATGAAGAAGGAGTATCCATAGCAACACCATCATCTTCCTGGTATTCATTTAATTATTAAAAAATAATAAAGAAACATTCACTTACTGTCATATCTTCATCTTTATTCAATTCTTTCTTTAATCTTTTGTTTTCAGCTTTCATCAAATTAAGTTCTTCAATCAACTTTGATATCTTCCTCTGCATGGCCACTTCACTTAAGAAGACCTCAAGATAGAGTAACCATAGCAACAGGTGGTGCAGTATCTCTTCCTTACTTCATTTACAATCGGCTTGTTGGATATCTTCTTTGCTCTTTGAGCAAACTATTAATGACCAGTATTAATAACTAGCCCCTCCCCCTGCCACACCCCTTACCTTAAGAGTGGAGTGGCTCTCCTCCAGTGCCAGTGGTGATATGTTACAAATAATAACTGTCTTAGAGTTTCCTCCCAGCGAATGACGCAAGTACCTCGTCAGTTTGGAGTCCCTGTACTGTATGTGACTATGAATATTAATGAATATCAATAATAATAATAATAACTGCTAATTCTACCCGTCATATTTCATTGATAGTTTAGATATGACACTGGTTAGAGTCATTAGACTCAGGTTGATGCTCCGCCCCTCCTTGAACTCTGCCTGATTGATAGCAGCTGATGCTTTCTCACTCCCCGCCAGATCAACAAGATTCTAAAAATAGACACAATTGACCACACCCATTAATAATTCTAATTAAAGCCCTAACCAGACACGAGACCTGCACTATGTCCTTGTCTTGGCTGATGTCCTTACTCTCAATGATTATCGTAAAGATTGCATGAGATCTGCTGCTGGCTGTGTTCATCTTAGTCTCTCGCACAGTTCTGTTATCTAAACAACAACAAACAAACAAACAACAAACAATAATAATAATAACAACAAGTGGTTACTTCTTCCGGCTACTAACACCTGCAGTACATCAGCAACAGTGACACATTCTGTTTCTGTTAAGTTATGAACAATCAAACGACCCTACTTATAACTATTAATAACCATTAATAACTATTAATAACTAACAGGCCCCTCCCTCAGCTGTAGGTTGGTCCTGCTGGTGTTCTGGAGGTCAGTGATACTCTATGGATCATGTGATCATCATGTGACAGAACCTCATGTGACATACCTCGTTATAAAGTTCAAAATAACTAACACGAACAATAAAGTCTCTCATTACTTGCTAAATAAATAAATAAACAAACAAATAAACAAATAAATAAATAAATAGATTAATTAATGGACAATACTTTCTTGATGATATCGTAAAGGTTCAGTATCGCCAGTGGAATGATTCCAAGAGCTTTGTCATCACCCATCATTGTATAGGTCTTACCACTGGCCGTCTGACCATACGCAAATATAGTACCTATTAATAGTAACATATCATAACATATTCTATTAATAGTAACATATCATAACATATTCTATTAATAGTAACACTTGCCATTGATTCCTCTGACTGCATCGTTGACAACAGGCTGTGCTATTTCATTAAAAATGGTTTCAGTTACCACGTCCTGTCCAAAAACATTATCTAATTAAAAGAAAGAAAAGATACACTCGTAAAGAGGAGCTGGAGTTACCAAACTCATAGGAGGCAGAGGAGTCTATGGGTGAGACTGACTTCTCGTTAACTGTCCACTTTACTTCACCTGTTTCACTGACAAGAGAATAACAGACAGACACAAGCCATTGTCCACTTACTCGTTCACCAGTGGCCTCAGCCTCACTCCAACTGTGATAGTGTCCATCATCAGAGGATCATGAAGGAGGTTGTATTTGCTGATGGCCCGCGTAGAGTTAGTGCGCATGCGCAGTACTGATGGGAGGGACTTGTTAGTTAATTGATCGTTATTAAAAATAAAATGGCTACCAAGAGAGAGGTATGAATCTTGAGCTCCTCCGCACGTTTGATCATAGCTACCCAGAGCACAATGATGGTGTGTTGGACTCTGGTAGCGAGGCTGTCATAGTACAGTTCAATAGACGGGGGACCATGTTAGCTGTTGGCTGCAATGATGGAAGAATAGCGCTATGGGACTTTATGACAAGAGGGATATCCCGCCAATGCAGCTATCACATTCACCCCATAACCTCACTCAGCTGGAACAGAAGTGGGCGGAGACTCCTCAGCTCAGCGACTGATTGGAATGTTGTGTTATGGGATGTCATTAGTGGGGAGGCAGAGCTCTGCCTGAGGTTCCCTTCTCCTGTCATGAAGGTTCAGTTTAACCCACGGGACAAGAACATGTTCCTCGTCTGTCCCATGAAACACGCCCCCACCCTAGTAACGATTAAGGGGGCGGGGCCAGTGCACACTCCTCTACCGACTGACGGGGAACCAGAGTCTTCAATGACTGGATCTTTTGGTCGTCACGGGAAACTGATAATACTAGGGACCTCCAAGGGAATGGTATGATGTGCTTATGATGTAACGTGTTACTATTATTAGAACAGGTCCTCGTTATTAATGTAAAGACTTTGGATATTATTAGAAAGTTTCGTGTCCTCAGTGGAGGGTCCTCTCATGTAGCTGTCAAATCAATTGAAGTTGCCAGACGAGGGAACAACTTTCTAATTAACGGCTCAGACAGGGTCTTACGAGTCTATGACCTTGAAAACCTTGACAAGGAGCCTCTGACTGGAGAGGAGGGGGAGGGAGGGAAGGAGGGAGAGAATGGGAAGGAGATTGAGGTTGAACCTTTACAACGACTCCAGGATAACGTGAACAGAATGCAATGGAAGAAGTGTTCTTTCTCTGGTAAATAAATTAATATTCTTAATCTTACTTCTCTCTCTTCAGGTGACGGTGATTACATTTGTGCTGGTTCTCACAGACAGCATGAGCTGTACATTTGGGACAAGGCCACAGGGAACCTTGTTAAGATGCTGACGGGACCAAAGGGAGAGTCCCTCCTTGACCTTACCTGGCACCCCGTCAGACCAGTTATACTCTCCGTCTCTAATGGAGTTGTGAACATTTGGTCTCACACTCAGACTGAACTGTGGAGTGCTTATGCTCCTAATTTTAAAGAGCTTGATGAGAACGAAGACTACGAGGAAAGGGAGAGTGAGTTTGATATTGAAGACGAAGATAAATCCGTCAATAATGAGGACCCAGCCCAGTCTAATGGTGTGGAGGAGGTGACAGTGGTGGATGTTACAGATTGCCCAGTGATACCAGCTTTCTGCAGCAGTGAAGAGGATGAGGAAAGTCCTTTGGATTGGTTACCTTATGCTCCTGAGATTGAGGAACCTGATGAACCAGGCTGGGGCCAGCTAGAACCATCCCTTAACGAGTTGCCTATCAACAAGAGGCGTAGTGATGATGATAAAGAAGAAGGTGTGGTCTTGTCACCAAAGAAACCTCATACAATAGATATAGACCTGCCAGAACCAGTGAATGATAATAAAGGAGACACTGGAGCAGCTGGTAGTGGTGGAGGAACCAAGAAGAACAAAAATAAAAAATAAATAAAAATGACAATGTTCACTGTTTTATAGTCTCTTTATGTGAAATACATTAATTAATTAATGGATCACTTTTTGTTTTGTAAAGTACTTTCTGTTTTAGCAGCTGCTATGACTATTTGAATAAAGAAAATATTTCAAAACTATCGACAACAAAAATAATGACACGTAGACATTAGATATAACAATAACAACAACAATAATAATAATTCTTATTAGTAAGAGTAATGAACATCACATGACTGGCAAAATAGCAATAATGTATTTAAAATTTATCATTGTTATATTTAATTAATTAGTAATTTTAGATAAAGTCATTTTTCCTCGGGTTCTTAGAGTCCCCAACCGGTTGAGGCTTTGACTTGGCACTTCCTGAGGACGCGCGAGTTCTCACAAAGTCAATTTTAGCAGGTTTAGCCCAAATACGATAGAACTTCCTCTCGGACCCATCGGGCTCTCCTATCTGCTTAGCAAGGACTGGGTTATCCTATGGGGGCAGGGGGTCAGGGGGGGAAATTTAAACTAAAATTACTTTAAAACTGGCCTCCTCGGGGCTCCTTTCATCCATCATACCAATAACCAAATCAGCACTAGATTAGAATAAAGAAATAATTAACACAATAATTAATTAATTAATTAATTAATTAATTAATTACATTCGTCCCTGTCTGTACCCAAAGGCAGGGTAGCACTCTGGCTCCAATATGGCGTATGGGCGTGGTTTCTTCAAATGAAGCAAGTTGAGGTGAATGTTACCTTGACCAGCTTGACCTGCTCTTCCAACAGGATGGAACAAAACAATATCACCAGGTTTGTAACTAGAAAATAATAATAAGAATTAATATGATATTATTATTATTATTGTTGTTGTTACTTTTCTAAATATGTTATTCTAATGTGGACTTGATCAATGTCAGCCTCATCACCAAAACCTAAAAAAACAACAACAAACAACAACAAACAACAATAAACAACAACAAACAACAATAAACAACAACAAACAACAACAAACAACAATAAACAACAAACAACAATAAACAACAAACAACAACAAACAACAATAAACAACCAACAAACTAATAGTGTTTACCCGATGCTCCACTCAGCAGTTTCTGTTGCAGTATATCAAGATGGAGGCTTGCCTCTGGTATCAGCTCATTGAGGTCCAACTGTCCCTCCACCACAAGGTACCCACTGGAGGTGCTGTCTTCCGCCCCGAGAATAGGGTACAGGTCCTTACTCTTGTTGCTAGGAGACCGACTGGCAGAGGAGGGGCTACAGGAATAACCACACCCACTTAATTGACACTGTATCTCACTGACTTACTCAATAAGTCGTTTTGCTGATATGCAGAAAGTCTTGAACTTTTCAGCAAGAGTAGGATCAAGTTTAGGAGCCCTAGCAAGACATCATTAATATTCATTATCATCATTAATATTCATTGTTCATTATTATTATTATTATTATTATTGATTACTCTTTGTCAGCTATCTGTTGATGTAGTTTAGCATTTTCAGCTTCAATAGTCCTGATGTGTTCATTCTTGGCAGCAATGTCCTGCTGCAACTGGGACCATCCTACAGTACATTAAATAATAATAGTTATAAATTTAATAATAATGATGATGAAGATGAACTGACCTTGCTGATTTTGACTTTGTGCTACTGGTGCCTATAATAATGTACAATTAATTAATTAATTAATTAATGAAGTACTAACAGCAGCTGCTGATTTTGTTGATCTGAGCAGTTCTGCTCTCCATTCCGGTACACCTTGAGTGAGTGTTTTATTCAAATTGTCTTGCTTGACTTTAAGAGCAGAAGCTTTCTGTGAGACATTCCAAATGTCATAGAGTGCTGTGTATAGACCTCTGGAGTTTAAATAAATAAATTTAAAATAAATAAATTAAAAAGGAAAGACATACTTCAACATCTTGTGAGCTCTGTCGGTGGAAGAGACAATGAGTCCTTTACATAACTGAAGGAGCTCCTCACACATCTGATAGATAAACTGCCTCTGATCGTAAAGAGATAATAATAATAATGAACAGGCAATTAATTAATAGTGCATTAATTTATAACGTCTCACTTCAATGGAGGTAAGTGACTTCGCTTTCTTTGACAGTTTCTTTGCATTCTCAATGAGGTCGTCAATCTGGAGGGAGGGAGCACGAAGGATCGTGTTCTCACATTTCTTCAGACTCGTCTCCATTTCACTGACCAAACCATCAATCTATTAATAATAATAATTAATAATAATAATTAATAATAATTAATAATAACTTTAAAAATTCATAAACCTCTAATACTCACCTCATTCTTTTCTCTCTTGACTTTAGTCACATTATCTTTGAAGGTCTTAGCAGCTGCTGGACTGATTCCAGTCCCTTTGTTCAATACTGATATGTCACTGGATAACCTGTGATTAATAACCAGTAATAGCCACACCCACTGATGATCAAACCCACCAATCACAGGCCAGCGTTGCTTTAGCAATAGTCTCCTGGGCCAGTTGTCTTGTATTGGCCAGTGACTGGATCAGTGTCTCAAACTGTTTGGTACAAAATGCCCTGCAATAAGAGGAGGGGATAATCACCCTGCCCCTATTAATCAACAGCTAATTAACCTGAACTCCTGTATGCATGAAAACTGTCTCTCAATTTGTTTCTCAAGTGAACCAATTGAATGGACTATCTCATCCGAGTACTTGCGCTATTAATAGTAACAGTTGATTACATCATCATTACATCACGACTCACTCCTGTAATCAGCTCCACACACTGTGACTTGCTCTCCACACAATAATCTAACGAGGATAAGGAGGTGTGGTCATTATATTAATATTAATTATTTCTTACATAATTTGGCGAGTGCTCCATAATCAGGTTCCAGGAGATCAGCTGTGACTTCGTTAACAGGAATAAAGTATATAACGGCATGTCCCTATATACCAAAAATACATGTACATGTTACAGCTGGTCCCTGGTACCTGTGATCCACCTGCTCTGTTCATAAAGAGATTGAAATCATTCTGACTCGTGTTCGAATTCTTTGAAATATAAATATCCGACTGGGAGGAGAATATGACCTGGTGTTCGACCGGGGTCCCAGCTGCTAGCTCAATATCATTCATAAGGTCCTCAGGTCTAGGAAGTACAGTACGTAATGCAACAGTCCTTCATTATCTTACGTACTTCATGTCAGATTCCACCATAAACTTGAAACCAGTTCCGTGAAGAAGATTAACGACTTCAACCTTACTCTTTAGGAGGTCATCAACAAAATCAAAGAATTCAGGATATGTCATCCTCTCCAATGCATCCAGTTTTAACAAAGACACCAGCAGCTGGTTCATCTTTTGCTTGAACGGACTATTAAGAATACATGTATTATCATGTTAAAGTAGGTGTGGTTTACGCTGAGAGTCTCTCGTCCAGAGATGCTGGCAGTTCATATATGTACTTGACCTTAGGAACCGGCCCATAGTTAGGAGCCGTACTCGGCTCCCAAGCAATGGCGTCACCTTTCTTATCCAGAATGTGTAATATGTGATTTAATTGCTGATTAATTAATTAATAATCAATTAATAATAATGATAATTATAACTTACAGCATAGAATCCACACTGACCCACGAGTACTTTATAAATCAAAGCACCAATAGACCACAGATCAACTTTATCATCATAGTGCTAAGTACGGCAGTTATAAAATGAAAGTAATTAATCATAAAACAAACATACCTCCACACCAGGATTGAACACACACCTCAGTGCTTCTGGAGCCTGTTATAACAATAAATTAATTGGTGCCACACCCACTCATTAATTACCATGAATACAGGGGTCCCTGCCAGTGACGTCAGGTCCAGAGGTTTCATCGACTCGTCTTTAAAGTGTCGGGCAAACCCAAAGTCGGCTAGTTTGATCTACACATGAAAGAAGAACACATCAATCACTAAAAGGAGCAGTCTTACCATCATCTTCCCAGTCTTGGGATGATACTTTATCAATATGTTCCCTGGCTTAATGTCTCTGTGAACAATGTTATGAGCTCTAAGAGCTTTCATACCTTCACCTGGTGAAAATACAGTCACATGATGATCACATGTCAGTATAGTTATTATTGGTTATTAATTAATACATGTACATGTATAGTAAAATTATGATGCATTTAAAATAGTTGTCATACCAAATATGGTAATAGGAAATGCTGTGAGGAAGTGACTAATAACAATAGTTTGGCATACGTTAAACATGTGACGTACATGTAACATGTGACGTACATGTAACACTGCAACAGGAGGGGATTGGGTTGCAGCTGTCTTTGACCTTTTAAATTTTTAATCAAAATTAGAAACAAATTCATAATCTGCTGAATCATCAACAATAAGAACAATAAACAATACCAACAATATTCATTATCATTATCATCAATAATCATGTGATAGCGTTAAACTTTAATGAAGTGTGGGGGCGTTAGGTTCCTTACCAAGTTGATGAAGGAGAACGGTCACATCTTGATCACAAAATGGCTTCACTTTAATGAGGTGGTCCAAGTCGCACTCACACAACTCCATTACCATCACAATAGCATCGGCTCGTTGCATATCCTGTTACCATGACAATCTTTAACCACACCCACCACAAGTACCGTACATACCTGTACATGATACAAATGGACCACGTACTCACACTGGCGGAGTTTCTTAAGAACGTCAATCTCTCTCATGAGGTTCTGCTCAGCCTTTGGGTCCTGTCTAAAGAGATCCTTACGAACGACCTTCACAGCAACTTCAGCTGTCTTCTACAAAGGAGAGGTGGAAATTGAAAAACAACTGAGACTGAAAATAAAGTGGTTACACAAATATTAATAATAACAAATAAAATTGTAAAGAATCAATAGAAACCTGTCCCAATACAGTGAACCACATACAGCACAGGCCCAAAGTGATAGTCTAAACACACGAGTCTGGTTCCTTCCCTCACCTGGCTGTTCCATCCTTTGTACACGTTCCCGTAGGATCCTTTCCCGAGGAGGCTCTTCAAGTCCCAGGCGTATCCGTCACAATGAGCCACGGAACCACCTGAGGACTTGCCGCGAAAAGCCATCAGAGAGAAAAGGAGGGAGGTAGCTCAAACTTGCTGATAAAGGCTAGCCTTGTAAAGGGAAACCCCAGTCCAAACTAGCTGGCTGACTACAAGCCACGCCTACATAAATTCAGCAAATAATGAGCCACACCCACGAGCTATGAATATCATTAACACACACCATCCAAAAAGTGAGCTCACTGCTGCTGCTTAACTGAAAATTAAAATTAAATTTGTATTCTTGATAATATTTCTTCTTTTATGTTAATATAATACTTCATTTCTGATAATGCTGACTTTGCACCTTCCAAATCATCTAAAAACACATTATCAAATTAATTATTAATAATTACTGTACAGCTGATATTTTGATAAGAAAATTTGGTCAATTGCTAATTTTTGTTGATCGGCAGGTTTCAATTTCCATGCATCAATGAGCATTTGTGTACTTAGTTTAAAATGGCGGGTCTTATTTTTAAATGGCTATGATTATAAACTTATATAAGATGAACCTCCTTCCTCCAAAGTTACCAGCTGCATACAGTGTACTTACTTTTCTTAAAACAGTCACTTAAGACAGTGATTGATTTGTTTAATGAAACTATAAATAAATAAATAAATAAAACTCCTATTATTATTATTATTATTATTATTATTATTATTATTATTATTATTATTATTATTATTATTATACAGCTGCTCATACCCTCATTATTATTCATTAATTGCTTCAGTTTTGCTTGCGATGGATTAGCATGTATCTCCTCATTAATATTCATTATCGTCTCCAGAAACTCCTCCCCTCCGGCTATAAGATTATCTTTCTCATCAATCTCCACATTATTCAACTCCAACTAAAAATTAAACAAGGCAGCCCATTAAAATTTTAAAGGATAACCCATTAAATTGCATACCATATAAAGGCCCCTCCTGTAATGATCAGACAAAGTGTTATAAGCTTTATTAATTAATGATGAGTGCTCCTCAGCAAACTGACGCTCTAACTAATGGATATACAATGAGTCATGTGACCTTTGGGGGTGTGGTCTTACAGGTGACTTCAATGCGTACTTGTCTGGGTGAAGCCAGCGCTGTAACCAATGGTAACGAGATTTTATCACCTCAGGCTTGATATCAAACTGAACGTCACTAAAATAATGATCGAAAAATAAATGATTTAACCAATTATTAGTTTTACCATTGCAATATGTGAAAGTAATTAGAGGTGGTGGGTGGAAGGATCACGTGATGTTCACAGGGACAGGTGAAGGTTGGTTCATCTAGTTGTACACTAATGGTCTTATTACAGTTCCAACAGTTCAACTGACGAGTAGAGAGCAGTCTCCTACCACTGGTACCGCTTAACAAAAGCTTCTCTCCTAGTTTTCTGAAGGCAGCCATTTTATTAATAGTTAAAGTGACTAGTTAATTTATTAACTAGGAGGTGTGGCTATAATATTAAATTTTTGATTTAAAATAAAAATTTTAAAGCAAAAACAAAATTAAGTTAATAATCAATTATTTTTAGTACCAACTTGCTCTACAAATTTCTCCTTTATCTCCTTGACCAGCTCCTCCCCTCCCTTCAGTACATCAATACAAGTGAGGGCCATGTTAACAGCTGTAACTCTGGTCTTAGTGTGGGACTCGGGTATATCAGTAACAGCTGCAAACTCACGAGTGTGATTCACCTCACCTGATCCAATGGCAAAGGTTGGATGCAATGAAGGAACAACATAAGAGACATTCCCCATATCAGTAGACCAAGAGGCATTGGCATCATAAGTATACTCAGTACCAGAGGCCTCAATATGTTTACGATAAATACCAGCTAGGACTGGGTTAGAATGAAGGTCCGTATACGACACATCGTTCTCTTTTATCTCAACTGTGCAACCAGTTGCAGTAGCAGCTGACTCAAAACAGGACGTTACTTTACCACGAAGTACCCCTAGCTCTTTTAGATTAGGAGCCCTGACGTAGTATAGCAGAGAAGCTTTCTCTGGTATTATGTTAGGCTTTGTACCGCCATTAGTAAACACAGCATGAACACGCCAAGTTGGCTTCATCTGTTGCCTCAGGAGGGAGACATTAGTATATGCCAGTACAGCTGCATCTAAAGCATTGACTCCCTCCCAAGGGAAGGCAGCAGCATGAGCTGCTTTACCAGTGAACTCAACCGAAAGGGTCACCCGAGCATTAATATAACCAACAATAATCTCAACAGGAGCAGGGTGGACCATTATAGCAATATCAAAGTCATTGAAAGCACCTCTATCCATCAAGAGTACCTTACCACCCCCACCCTCTTCTGCAGGAGTACCCAGGACTGTAAGGGTACCCGGGGTACCACTGGACTCAAGGTATGCTTTGATAGCTACACCAGCTCCAAGACCAGCAGCTGCTATGAGGTTATGACCACAAGCATGACCGATCTCAGGGAGGGCATCATACTCACAGATCACACACACATGAGGAGACCCTGATCCAAACCTACACAACAAAGGACATCTTTAGTAATAGCATTCCTAATGTACGTTTTAACAATAAAGACCATTTGACTACACCTACTTCTAAATACATGCAATTATTAATGTAGGGGCTGTGCCGGTTGAATTAACTACTTATCTTACATGTACATGTAGCTACCTTGCTCTAAAAGCAGTTTCTATGTCACAGTAGCTCCGGTCCACTTTAAATCCTTTTGATTCTAAATAGTCAGTCAATAGTTTATGGGCGGCCTTCTCTTTATATGCCAGCTCAGGATTAGACCACAGCTGGTGAGCAATAGACCTCAGGGGCTCCTTTTCCCCTTCTATAGCGTCAGACACAATCTTCCTAGCATCCGCCATTTTAAACTCAGTGACATCTAATGTTCACAGTTATTATTGGTGACAATAGTTAGTGTCTTTCCCGGGATATCTGGCGGGTATGGTCACGTGAGGATTGCCCAATCCACTACAGGTTGCCTAGGAACCAGTTACATCAGGCGGGATCACAAGTCAAAGAAGAAGCACGAGGCAGCCATTGTCTCTTTCCTCAGGTTTTATCGTTTCTCCATTGATAACCTTCTCCCTATCATTCTCTCTCTTTCTTTCTCTCAATAGGTTTGTAGTACCAACTGTTGGAGAGAGACAGACAGGTTATACTATGCCCTGTATGTACAAGCTTGTAACATTCTTTATGTAGGGAGGAGCCATGACTTGTTACTGTCTGGAGTACAGGATAATTAATGAGATAAGTTAATACACACACACACACAGTGTTTTTGTATATGAGTGTGTGAT